TCTCTCTCTCTCTCTCTCTCTCTCTTTCCTCTCTTTTCATAAAGAATTTTTGTTATATGTATGTTCATGGTGCAGCCAAAAAGACGAGGCTGCCGGTGAGGTCCCCGTGGCATTTGTCGTCCCATCGAAAGGCTCTCAACTCACCGAAGAAGCTATCAAAGAATTCATCTCCAAACAGGTGGTGTTTTACAAGAGACTGCACAAAGTGTACTTTGTTCATGCAATTCCAAAGTCCCCTGCTGGTAAAATTTTGAGGAAAGATCTCAGAGCAAAACTCGCTGCGCTGCCGTCATCTACTTGACATATATAATTTTATTTAGTCTTGATATTCATATATAATTTTTATTACTTTGAGTTGTAATAGTATGTACTACTGCAATATTCAATGAAATTCTTTGCAACAAATGAAGGTGTGTGTGTGTGTTGTGATCAGATTCATGGTTTACGAAACCGGACCGAACCAGTCCGTCCAACAACCGTTATATAACCAGATGAACTAATGATAAACGGTTGGTTCAACCGGTCAGGTTTCTCTTTCATTTTCAAATACAAATCCCAACACAATTATAAAGCTAATAACCTGTGACGTTAACCGATGTGGGACCAAATTGCTAGTAAGAATTCCAATTGATGCGCATGGGAGTGAGAAGAAACTTTTCTCTCCCTGTTTTGTTCTATTATTTTATTACTTAATTTGGGAGTGACTAGTGAGAATCTATATTTATCATCAATTACAGAACAAGTGGTTGGTTAATAATTAATATCATCACGTCTTCCTTGCATATCCAAGTTAAAGAGAACTACTAGTGCAACTACTAGTGCGTATCCTCTGTGATGCACAGATGAACTTATATTTTAAATCTTTTTTATACTTTATTTTTAATATAACTTTATATATAATAAGGAAATGTATTTCCATCTTTTTTGGAAGTTAGAATATGTTGGATTCGTTTATCTATAACTAATCATACAATATTCACAATTTGAACCCAAACGACAATTTTAGAAATTTTTGCCAACAAAATCACCCGCCCAGGATTTACTTATTTCGAAAAATATTACAGCACAATCTTTTTTATTAAATTTTATTTACATAAGATATGCATTTGTTAATATTAAATTGCAGAGGATAAAAGTTCAAATTTTTCAAAAAAATTCAACCGAAAGAATTTTGAATTGTAATTTTAGCCGCCTAAAAATTCGAAATTTACAAAAAAATACCACTAATGGTAATAAATGAAATTTTAAGTTGGGCTTTTTAACTAACCAAAAATAAATAATATTTATCAATTTTTGTTATTAAAAATTCTGTTGTATTTTATTAAAAAAATTGGCATGAATTAATGTCTTGATATTTTATATGTTTAAATGACAAGCATGAAAATGACATACAATTTCGTAATTAATTGATTTAAATTGATGTTATCCAATTTATACCAACTCCCTTCCCAAAAAAAGGAATTGCCCGATTCCTTCTAAATCGCTTAAAAAAAGATTAAAAAATATGTACAAATCTATTACAACTGAAATCAGTAGGCGGGATTATGAAAATGATTCAAAACACATTATTGAATAAAGTAAGAAAACGAAAAGAAGGGGAATTTGAAACAGAAAAATGAAACAATTATTTTTGAGTTTTTCAAACATTCTTTCTTAGCCGTATTTTATAGTAATTGATAGATTATATAGTAATAGATTTATAAAATTAATAATTAATATAAAAATATATTTTACAAATCTAAATACTTTATAAAGGTATATATATGTTGTTGTGCGATTGTTAACAACGATTAAACGTATGTTTAGTTAAGTAGTTTGAGTGTTTTGAACGTAAAACATGCAATCAAAACTCAACAATGGCCCCGGTCCGAGGTGAACCGAGGTGAAAGGTGGCGGGTTTTTGTATATATCTATCGAAAGTTCTGAGATCGATCCCTTTACAAGAATATGAATGTGCTATTTATAGTAGCTTTTTGGGTCCGTATCTCGAGGTATACGGTCACTTTTTCTTGTAAAGTAGCTTTTTTGTGGGCGGCCATGTGAGTGGGTCCCACTTGAATGATGAGTGATCTTGTGGTTTGTAAGAAGGGCGTGTAGGCGCCTTGTCACCAGCTTCGGGGATGGTGACCTCGGTTCATGGTGATCTCGGTTTGGAATGGGTTTGTAGTGACCTCGGTCTTCCTGGAGTGAGTCGGTTTTTCTTCATGTCGGTTGAAGCTCGGTTTGGCGATATAACTCGGGGTAAGCGGAATTCAGATTTACAGCTAATGATGACTATTACAACACGTGATCTTGAGATCTCGAATAAGTAATCCCGAATTACCGAGTCGGATGATAATAAGAATAATACAAAATAGGAAAATGAAATAATTTTTTTCGAGTTCAAAAGTGGGAATATGAAGCGGAAAAACGAAATAATTTTTTTCGAGTTTTTTGATTAATTTTTCTTAACTGTATTATATAATAATAATAGATCGTCCCAAACGAATACGGGCCCAAAACAATTCTGCCAATACAAATCGACCCAAAATATAACACAACTATATTTGATCTAACGGCGCACATTGGTCAAAACGATCGGACGGTGTTGAATCGCTTCCATCGAGTATAAAAGGCGAAAAATCCCGAAAAAGTAAGGTTTGCTCATTTCACTGTTTCTTTCTCCGCGTCTCTTTCATTTTCTTCATTTTGCATCAGAAATCTTTCTCTTTCATACTATTTTTAAAAACTGTAAACTTGCGTGTTGAAAGCTTTCAAATATAATTCGATCTTACATGCTGTTTTATAGGTGACGAAGAATGTGATGTTCGCAACAATGAAATGAAATGTTTTTACAATCGTTGATGTGTATGTATGGGAATCATACACACATGCTGTTCAAAAGAGGTAAATTACATTGTTATCTATGTATTATTCTAATTTGATAGACTGTGTGTAAACATAAACAAATTTAAAATTGATATGATTGATGTTATTTACAATAACTAATCATAATTTTTTGTATATGCGTGAACATGAGGAACATGGTGCAAGCCAATAAAAGATGTGAAGAAGAAGATTTATTGATAGAATGCAACAGAAAGATAAAGGTAAACAAATAGTATCCATAAATAATTACTTGGATTAGAATTTTCATCCACTTGAATACTCCTATTGGCTGTTCCCGGTGATTTGTTTTCTCCATGTGTAGAAGGTTGTATCTTTGTGTTTGTGTTACTCCTCCTTGCATATAGACGGCCACTCTCTTTTGCATAATATTCCCTGCTTGCATCCCCTTTCATGTTGTTTATGTAGGTCTTATTTACTGTCTGCTTCAATTAAAAACAAATATCAATATCAATATTGTTAGAAAATACTTACTGTTTGAAGAAGTAGAGAGAATGTAAAGAATAAGGCTAACCTAATTGTAGAGCATGTAAATTATTATCTCACGTATATATATATTGCAATATTAATTATTCCATGATTGAGAAACAAATGTTTATCTCTAGATATCACGGAAGATCTGAACTGATTTTATTCTATATATATTTTGTATTGTCTATATAAAATAGGAGTGCTTTTAGAGATAAGATTAGTTAGTAGTACTAATCAAAACGTGTTTTTGCAGAATAATTTTGGAAGAGAAGTGAAGAAGACGTTCTAAAGGAATGATGGATTTATATATGATTTTACAAATTTGTTTGTAATCCGTTTTTATTGTGTTTTAGTATATTATTTTATTATTTTATGTTACAAATCTCATCCCATCCCATCCAAAATAAACGAAAGTAAAGTAAATATGTACATTAAATATCAACCAATTCCCATCCTATAAAAAAGGAAAAACAACGGAAATTAGTGGTTTAATACAAATAAGATATCACCAATTAATAGCAAGGAAATCTTATCCTAAAAAGAAGGAGTAAAAAGAGGGGCAATCAAAGCGGGAAATGAAAAAGTTTCGAAAAATTTGACCAAAATTAAAATCAAAGCGGGAAATTGAAGCGGGAAATGAAAAGAATTTTTTTCGAGTTTTTTAAACATTTTTTCTTAACTGTATTTTATAGTAATAGATATAAAAGAGTTAAAGAAAAATAAATACAATTTTAGTAATTTTTTTCCGTTCAATCATTTTGAAAATTACCTTTTCTAGATTTTTTTTTTTGAATTTATTTCACAAATTCCGCCTAAAGTTTTTTATTTGAATTTGAATAGGAAAAAACGAAATTCAGTTTATTGTTACACCCCTATTTTAACTCTTCTTTTTTAGGAAATCACAAGTTCATCTTATGTATAGTTAAACTTGATCATCGAGAATTCATTGAGATTGTGCAGATCTCCAGAAAGTAAATACAATAATACATTCCAAACATCATGAATCGTAACTTTGCAGCTTACAGGAACAGACCAAACAATTTTTAACCCTGATATGTACCAACCAAACCGAATATGTAAAATGCTTTCTTATTGGCAATTATACTTTTGATGTTCTTTCTTTTTTCTTCTCGAACGTCAAATGAAGTAAATAAAAGTCACTGACTTATTCATATTGGCAGGTTTATTCCACGTCCATGGCAATGCTGTTGACTATGGTACTGTCTGTATACCTTTTCAACTTCAAGCCAACTCTACAGGTTGATGCTCTACTCTTCTTTCTGTTCATGCATAAGATGCTGTCTGTGTTTTCTACTTTTCCTTTAAATTATTTGACTGATTGTTTGTTGTGTTTTTGTCCTTATTTTCTTGTGTTTTATGTGTTTTATTTTGTGGTTTTTAGGTCCGTTTTTAGGCTCGACCGGTCCATTTTATCATGTTTTGTGTATTNNGCTCTTGTATAGTGTTTTCGTATTTTTGCGCGTTTTCTCTTTTGTTTTGGTGTTGAATAGGTCCAACGAGTTGAGAACGAGGAGATGAGC